AGCTCGTCATTTGAAAAGTAGATCTTAACACAAAAAATTGTGGGCACCCCTGCTCTAGAGCAGTGCTTCTTAAAGTGTGGGTCGCGACCCCATATGGGGTCCCTCAAGTTAACAGGGGGGGTCGCGATCCGAGTCCCCGGCCAGGACCGCCATCAGGGGGTATGGCCGGTACTTGTGTGAGGGGCTAAGGAGGTCTTGGCTCCAAGCTAGATAGTTTTATTTCAGTTTAATGTATAATTTGCAGTTTAGTGTAGTTTTTAAGGTCGCGGCCCCCCCCTGTGCACTTGGTACCTTCCTGAGCACGCATGCGCAGGAAGGTTTTTTTCTTTTTTTTTTACATTGACTGAACTTTCTTTTACCCAGCAGCAGTGGAGCACAGCTGCTGGACGTAAAGGTAAGGAGGGGGAGGAGGGAGAGAGAGACGCTGATAGACGCTGGGGGGGGAGACAGGGGAGAGAGACACTGACTGGTACTGGGGAGGGAGAGAAGAGGAGAGAGACACTGACTGGTGCTGGGAGGAGGGAGTGAAATCTGTGACATTTATTCTGAATATAACAAAGACTTGTTCTTTGTGTTTCTATCCATTTTTCTAAGCTAACGATTTAGACCTAATCCGACATTGAGATATACAATAGCATAAATTAGAGTTTTTATTCCAAACAGTTCAATTATCAAAGCTTAAGTTTCTATGAGAGCAGTTAATACAGAGGTGTTCTCTGTATGACGCCTATTGCTAAGAATGCCTAAAGCACATTACTGTAGCAGTTGATCAGTCAGTGCTAAGTATTCTGCCCAGGGTTACAATGAGAGTTTATAGCTGAACTCCAGGAAAAATGTTTATTTTAGAAACGGCATACTATGTGTCGATGGCTCCAGCTTAGTATAGAAATCACACCTTGCTGTAAGCCAGCTCCTACACAGAGCTCCGTATTTCAGGCACTGCAGGGATGAGAAGCTGCGGCTGCGATAGTGAAGGGCTCCAAGTAGAAAATTAAGTCACCAGAACACCTATGAATCTTCATCCAATCACATCTTTAATGATGTTCATACAGCATGTCAAAAATGTTTTAAGACCTCAGGGTCGCTTCATTAGACAATGCGACAATGAGTGAAGTGCTCCTGTCACATCCTGTCTCCGTGCCCATTCATGAAAAGCCTTGTATCATATGTTTCATAATGCAAGGCATTCTGTGAATGGAGGAGGGGAGAGAAGAGGCAGGTGTGGTATATGGTCTGCCCTCTTCCATTCACAAAACATTCACAAAACACAAAATGTCACAAAACATTGGATTCCATTAAAAAAAACAAGGCTTTTTGTGACTAGGCAAAGAAAGAGAAGGGGGTGCGACTGGAGCCCTTTACTGTCGCAGTCACAGCTCCTCATCCCTGCTGCACCCAGAAATACAGAGCTCTGTGTAGGAGCCAGTTTGTAGCAATGTATGATTTTCATACTAAGTTGTCATCCGCACCTTTTATACTTATTCTTAGGGCTAACTTACTTAATTTGTGTTGTTGGTAAAATAAAACTTTTTCCTGGAGTTCAGCTTTAAGTACATATAAAAAATCAGCACTGATTATGCCATTTTAAAATGTAAGCAATACAGTATATGCTGGGTAAACAATAGTTTCCTCTTTTCTTGTTTCCTTTTTTTTTTTTGACAGACTGGATTCGTGACCAGCGAGCCCCTACGCCTGCTGCAAGTAGATTAAACAGTGATGATTACCCTCTTCATTGGAACAACCTGAGCACACTGAATGGTATCCAGGGACAGCATAAATATCCTATCACTGAGCAAATACATAATGCCAAGTTAATGTGCAGAGGGACAGCAGACTTTCCATTAAAAAGGCTCCATAATCAGTCATTGCACAACAATGTAAATGTTTTGACAAGTATTAATGATACTGCCCGTTACCAACTTTCCGGTCCAGAATTTACCTTCAATGACATCATTACAAGGTCAGCTTACCCCACAGGAAGTGTGACAGAGTTATTGAACAAGCCAATGATCTCTACTCTGCCCTATAGCAGCATGGAAGACAGCATTGCAAAATTGCAGAGAAGGATACAGGATAAGATCCACAATGTGTTGCTGTCACCTCACAACATCCCAGAAGTATCAAAAAGAATTCCTCTGCAGCAGCTTGCTCTTGGTAATTGACCCCCTACATCATATATTCTAAACGTATAATCTGAGTTTACAAAACTTAACTAGTGCTAAAGGTAAAGGAACTTTGGTGCATGCAGTGCAAAGCGCAATTACCATAATAACCAATTAGAATAAGAAATGTATTTTACATATACCAGTCTGAATGTATCTTTAACATATCTAAATAAAAAATGGAGCAGGAACTTGCATGGGCGAAGCACAGGTTTACTACTTATCTATAAGTCAAATGGAAATTCCTTAATCTGTGTGCTTAGAACATGTGAGGTATGCTGGGTACTTCAAATTTTTACCTGTGTGTGTGGGACGTTAGGGTTTTTGCTCTTTAGCGCTTGCAGAAGACGGAGAATCAACGTGTGGTTTCTCTAATCACTTTGCGTCTCTGCACAGCTCTGTTTGCATGTTTAGTCCTGAATATTTTAGTCTCTTCCTTATTACAAACCACTTCCTTGTTATAATGGAGCCCTCTGTTATAATTTACTGAGCAAAACCATGTTAGTTTATGGTGTGTATGTAAGCACACATTTTTTATTGTATGCCAAAGTTTTCACATTGTGTTTAAAATAGGAAGTGAGGTGATGTCGTGTGACTTCCTGTAAGTACAGCATCTAGGACAAAGCTGATGTACAGTACCTCTTTCCTTCCTAGCTCTGCAGCAGTAGATCACTAATCTGTTGTTGCAGAGCTACATGGGGAGGCTGGATTAGGTCTCCACTGACCTGATCCAAACCCCTTTGAAGAAAAGAAAGCATACAAAACTACACATCTATCTATCTAAAAACAATACATTAAAAATTCCCAGGTCCAGTTGGCAGATGAAATAGGATGGTATTTGCATTTACTGTGTAAGTTATAAATGCTCACATAAGAAAGGTCATGGAGGCAAAGGATTGCCTCCATGAAGAGGGGCTTCTGATGTGACGGGGGAACTCTGATATGAAAATGGGGCTCTGATGTGAAGGAAGAACTCTGATGTGAAGGGGGCTCTGGTATTAAAGCAGGGCTCTGATGCAAAAGCAAGGCTCTGATTTAAAATAGTGGGGTTCTGATGAAAAGGAGGGGATTTGATGTGATGGGGGGGGCTTCTGATGTGAACGGGGCTCCTAATGTTAAGGGGTACCTCACTTTTTTTTGTGGGGTCCCCCCTTAAAATCCATTAAAACATTTTTTTACTGGGGTGCCTCAAGATTTTACATCCTTTTGAAGGGCGCTGTGACTGAAAAAAGGTTAAGAAAAGCTGGGGTAAACTACAAAAAGTATAAGGCGTGCAACAAAGACTTTCCTGAAAGAAATCCCATGGGGGTTATAGGGAGAAAGGATTTAGGGATTAAAGTGGATGTCAAATCGCATAAGCGTCCTTTTTCCTACCCTGACTGTACCCTCAAGCCATAAATGGGTAACAGAAGCACTGAAACACTTACTTTGGTTTCAGAATCTGCTGTCCTGTGATCCCATGGTGGCTGATGGTCACACAAATACAGGGGCAAAGGTGTTTATCCTATAATTCTTTTTAAATTGAAAATATTGCTAACACGGGTTTCTTTTACATTGCAGAACAGCAGCAAGCAATGATGAAGGAGGATGCAGAAAGTGTAAGAGCTCTAGGTACATTGCCTTCTATTTGTTTTTCATATACTAACAGGGTTATTCACAAAAGGGTGAAGAGTTTGGAGAAGGCAGGAGAAGTGAACAATCTAGGACAACTTAGGGGTCTATTCACTAAGCTGCCGAGGGCAGCCGAGTGAATGACCGATCCGAAGTAAAGTGAGCTGAACACTGATCGGCTATTCACTTCAGGCTGGTATGGCTAACTTCAGCCGTACATCGGCTGAAATCAGCCGTACATCGGCTGAAATCAGCCGTACATCGGCTGAAATCAGCCGTACATCGGCTTAAGAATTTTTCCTAATCGGCTATTTTGCACTAGATGGTTCACTTCTGCCTTCTCCAAACTCTTCACTCTTTAGTGAATAACCCTATATGCGATTTTAGTCTTTTAACCAGTTGACATCCGCGGTGTTAAACCCCCTTCCCATCCAGGCCATTTTTCAGTATTCAGCGCTGCGGTACTTTAACTAGAGGACTCACTGAACAGCTGTCTTAAATACTAAAATGCAGAGGCCTGTTCTCTGTTCTTGTGCTTTCAGGTTGTCTGAATCTACTATAATAATTAGAGTTCTATTTTTTACACTGTATGTTATTATTAATAATGTTTTTGGGTTGTCTTTTTTTTTAAGGAGAGAATTCTCTTCATCCATTATATAAGTCACAACATTTCAGAAATTCCGATTCCATATATAAAGATCAGAGCAAAATATTAGAAACTTACTGTGACCTTGCAATGCTTGAATGCCTAGTACATGGAGGGCACGCCTTAAGTCTAAAGGTGAGAACACCAGACAAATGTATAATCAACTCTTCAAGTATGTTTAATTATATCCTGCTTCAAAAGTCACAAAATCATTAAGTTTAGCTAGTGTAATAAACCAAAATCAATCTGTATATTTTGGTGCCATGCATCAGTTGAAAGTTAAAGTCAGGCTTGCAGTGTGAGTTGCCACCTCCCACAAAGCACAGCATGGATTAGCAGGATACATAAATATGTACATTAATATGGAAACCGTTAACCTGTATGTGTCGAAACTGTATTTAGCTGTTTTATTGGAGTTTCCTTTTAGTCTAGCTTCCTTATTTTAGTGTAGCCATTTTGTTTGTCTTGCATGCTGTCAGAACAATAGTGTACCTGTGGGGAAAAAAAAATCATGATTCTGCACCACCTTTTTGAAACTTACTTTGAAAATAAGCCAATGATTTTTCTTCCATCCTACTGGGAATGCTGCCTTATTTGGGAAAGGGGGCTTTTTCCGTGATGTGGGGATGTCATTCAGAGATACCATATGGACAACACAGTGGCCATCTTTTCATGTCAAAATCAAAGGTGCTGCATTTTGTACTACCCAGAAAGCCTACTGTAAACTTTACATTAACACTTTTTTATTTTCTCCCAGGCATATTTTATATCAAAACTTCCAGATTTGACTCCCTTACATGATACATTATTCTACCTCAACTTGTCTTTTAATGAATTCTGGCAATTTCCTGCAGAGGTAAGCTGTGAATAAAGAACATTAATACATAAATGTATAATTAAAGAGGGTAGTTTGGGGTCAATTTTAATTCAGTAGTTTCTGTTTCAGTTTATGTCTTTTTTTTACTCTGTGTATAACATTTTATTTTACCAATGAACATTTAATACAAGGTGCACCTATAATACAGGATGAGAGAGCATTATGGGTTTTCTAAAGAAAGTAGCTGCTTCCTCTCTGACTATCTAATTGAAACCATGGGTTGATTTATGAAAAGTGTGCATTTTGCAAAATGAATTTTCACTTAGCATTACTTCATTCACTAAGCATGAAAATTCTATTTGCAAAGTGAACATGCTCTTTTTTTTAACCCAAGGAAGCCAAACAAAACAGGGAGAAAGAAGGCATTACTTCTCTGATTCACTCAGCTTCTATGGGTTTCAGCACTGTGCATTATAAGCCTCCTATTAAAGCAAAAATTTAACGCGAGTGATGTTTGGCAGTTTGGGCTGCAAGAGAGAAGTATTTACTCTCTTCTTTTGATTGCAAAGCTTTTTCACTAGTTTCATTTTTCATGACAGGGTCACTTTAATCTAATCTACCTCTAATTCCAGTTTTCTGTTTGGGAAGTAACCCATATCAAACATTTAATATGCAAGGAGTATTAATAAGTGCATGTTATTTCTCAATTAATTTCTCCACTCCATAACTAAAAATAACTGATCTGCAGAAAACATTAAAATGAATTTTTATCCTCTTATGTTTCAGGTGTACAGACTAGTACATTTGGAATTCCTTAAATTTAGAAACAACCCCATCAGAGACCTTCCATTTGGCATCCACAACATGAAGAAGCTCCGAACATTGATAGTGTCATTTTGCTCCTTGTCTTCTCTGCCAGATGGGTATGATGCCTATATCCCTTTCCAGGCATGGTGAATGCATATGTAAAAAAGTATGCTTAAACACACCTAGATTAACAGTTACATTCGGATAGAGTGTTGCTGGTCTTGTTTGTGCAGTGTTGAGGATGTGGGTATATGTAGCACAGATATTCTAATACAGCACAGAAGATATAGTGGTTTGGCTCTGTAGCACTGGTCACCCACACTTCTGTTTTTCTTAGTAATTTATAAATTCTTCAGATGTAGTTAGCATCACAAGCTGAACTGATCATCTAAAATCTTGAAGACGGGCAATTGTTTGGTGCTCGTGGAAAGCAATTCAATATCTGCATTTAGCAGTCCTAATGCAGTCACACAGCAATTTTTCTTCTTTTCGCTAGTAATGGCTTTTTATTATAACAGTACGGATGCGTGAGTCTTAATTAAAAGGGCTCTAAAACAAAAACAAGCCAAAACAGCTAAAGCTTTGGCACTTCCTCAAAGTGCTAAAGCTTGCCCCCACCCTTTCTACCTCTTGCATATTCCAATTCACCAATAGGAATGAGTTCAATCCCAATAGGAATGAGTCCGAACCCAGTCCAATCATGAGCCCTTCCAAAAAAGGACATGCTGTGGGCTAGGCATTCCCCGCCCCACAGCAGCATGTAAACAAAGGGACAGGATGCCTGTGCTGACATAATTACATAATTTGCCAAATATAGACATCTAGCCATATAGGGTCAATTACATCACTGCACATCCTTTTGGTTGTCATGAAGTGACAGTTTTAAAAAGGTAATGTTAGCACAGGAAAAATACAAAGGCTGGCATTGGCAACCTCCTTTTTATGTTGATTGCCTGGCTGAGTCACTCACTAGGCACATGTATACAGATCAAGAATACTTAGTTCAATTGCTGCATACTTGTTATGATTAAGTGGCTCAGTATTAAAGCCAGAGGATCAGCATGACAATCATACAACTAGTAGTTTTAAGAGAAGGTCAGCAATTACAGTCCACCATTTCTAAACAAAAAATGTACTCCATATACATTTAGACTGTCGTATAATGCACAAGTACAGTGGTTGGCACAGCATCCTCACTGTAATGAACCATGATGCACCTGCTTTGCGTTTTGCTACGTCACAGCAATGGTGAGGAATATTTTTTGCCCATAGTTTATTTGTTGGTGGCCCATTACAAATGAATGAGCTGCCTTAAAGTGGAAGTAAAGGGGAGAAAAGATCCCCCCAGAGCTTTTAGTCATAATATGCTAGCATGTACAGTAGGATCCCTTCCAGCGCTGTGCTCCCCCTCACCAATGCTTCTACCTTTTATTCTAGTCTTCTTTCGGGTTGTGATTCTTCGGCCACTTGATTGGCCGGTCCCCCGACGACGTAACTCCCTTGGAGTTGTTTCATCTTGGCAAGAATCTTGCCAAGCCTGTGCACTGACCTGCACTTGCATGGCTCAGTGTACATAAAAAAGGCAGCTAGAAACCTTTATAGCAACAATTTGTTATTTACAAGATGTAACTTCTACTTTAATACATTATCATGCGGTTACACACAATGTGAAGGGGCCCTTGACATTTTTCTTACTTTTTGTGTAGTTTCAGAGGATTATTTACTTCTGGGGTATGATTTACTATAGTGTGAAATGAGGACATCCAGTCATGTGAAGAATGCGTTACTTGGTTTGGTGCATTTCACTTTACCCTTTAGTAAATCAGACCTACATTTCCCTTAACCCAGGCTCCCTGCTTATTGCTTGACAGCTTTTTATTTATTTTTTTAGACTGTTTCTTCTGCCGTACCTGCAGGTGCTGGATGTGTCCTATAACAACATTACTTCAATTCCAAATGATATCTCCAATCTTAGGTAAGAGTACGTTTTTGTTTTGTTTGTTTTAGATTAGTGGAATGACCAACACGCTATGAAGTTATAATTAATACTATTTGGGCTTTTTTACTAAGATTTTTTTATGATGTGCCGCAAATCAAAACAACCAGGCACTCGGGTTATGTTTTATTTCTAAAAGGAAATAAGAAATTGGCTGTTATTATACACATATGTACATACGTCTCTAGTGAATATAAATGATAGTGGCAGCAAATCTTTTAAAGCAAATTATACATTCTTGGGTATACAAAAACACAGTAATGGGCAATAACCTGTTGAAACCATTCATGGTATCTTTTAGCAGCTTAGAGTGGGCTGATACAATCAGAAGAAAAGCTGGCTGCATAACGGTTTCCACTGAGGTAGTTTATTGAAGTTTGCGCCACATCACTGGTGTCTTGCCAAGGTCCGCTTTTTCTGATACGTTTCACCCGATCACAGGCATAGTCATAGAAATTTCTGATCCCTGTGTGTTTAATGCTATTTTAAAATAATTGCATAGCTGAACTGGAAAGTGAGCTGAATTGGAGAATGTTTCCAAATCAACTTTTTTTGCCTAGATTGTTCACTTCTCCTGCCTTCTCCAAACTCTTCACCCTTTAGTGAATAACCCCTTGAATCTTCTTTATTTTTATGTATCAATTGGATTAGTCTGTTTTTTTAAAACTGTGACCAACCAGTCAATTTCCATGTGTCATACTCTCATATTTGTTTCCATTTTGTTTTTATTAAGTTTACCAATCTAGGTAGAACTATGAGTTGGAATGTACACATGGGAGTAGTTGGATACAAACTGTCGCAGTGTCACACAGTTACATGGTAGAGCTATTACTTTTGATATAACACATCACATTTATAAGGTTGGTACATCACAGAATTTAAATCCAATATTAGTGTGTTAGAGCTTGGGGTACAGGTCCTGTCAGTTATGTGATACATCAGCGATATGGGTTGTGGAGCCACAACCCAGATATTCCAAGTGTTCGCTTGTCTAGCTTTCTTGCTTTATACAATAATCAGCTGTGCAAGATGATCTAGATCAGTGCTCCCCAACCTTTTTATCGCCGTGGACCGGTCAACGTTTAATAATTTTACCGTGGCCCGGGGGGGGGGGCGTTGATT